CTACCGACTCAGTAGATGCAGAATGACAGCTGAATGTGCCTTTGGTCATTTGAAGGGATGCTGGCATTGTTTACTCAGAAGATTGGACCTCAATGAGAAATATCCCAATGGCTATAGCTGCCTGCTGTGTCCTGCATAATATCTGTGACGCAAAGGGGGAAAATTTTCTACTGGAGTGGAGGACAGAGGTGGAGCAGCTGTCTGCTGACTTTGAACAGCCAGATACAAGGGCTGTTAGCAGAGCTTAATGTGGAGCTCTGCAGCTCAGGAAGGCTTTGAAAGACCATTTTAATAGTGAGCTAGAGTAGTGTGTGCTGTGGTAATGTGCTCTACATGGCCCTGCTCTTTTGCAGCCTTGTATGAATTATGTGGTGATTGCTGTACATGTAGGGATATAACATTGACCATGCAGCTGTTAATTTTTTTGTGAATGATTTTGAGTTGAGTGACACAGTGCAGTAATAGGTAATTGGTCACTTTCCGAACTGATGAGCACCAGCCAGCATATGTTGTGAACTAATAAAGATGAATTATGTTCCCAATAATAGAATTTTATTCTGTAACAAAATCAGTGCCAAAAAAACCCCCATGTCAGAGATTGGGGAGAATTTAGTGGCTATAAAAATGAGAGTAGAGAGTAATGGGGAAATTAAAGTTGGGGAAAACAACCCTAATCAATTAGACTTATTTGAATTGTCCAGAAGTTCTCAAACTGGTACATTATTGGCATGGGAGGAAAGTAAGGATGAAACTAGATTTCATGGAGATGTATGAAGAAAGGCAAAATAGCATTAGGGTTAAAATTAACCAGTTAAATATATATTCAGTAATATTAGGTGGCTAAGTATGTTAATTTATTCATTTCATAATATTTAGTAAGGTGTTGGTACCCTTCCTTTTGCACTGATGGCTGCGTGGCCTTCAGAACTGGGCAGCCGGAGAGTGGCAGCTGGTGGCCGGGCGCCCAGCTCTGAAGGCAGTGCCACTGCCAACAGCAGCACAGAAGTAAGGAAGATTGGTTTCTCCTACAAATTTGTTTTTAATGGATAGGAGTAAACAAATATGTTCGCCAGTCGCAGATGACAGGTCGTTGCTCTTCACATTTAAATTATAGGGGGAAAATGTTCCGTGACCTCTGCAAATAGCTGCTCCTGACAAGTGGTCTCTCTTTAGAGGTGATCTCTAAGACAGGTTTTTCTGTATTTGTACTTTGGGAGGCTATCAGATATTACAGTGATGGACACTCTTAGGGCTTGTCTACACTACCCGCCGGATCGTCAGGCAGTGATCGATCCAGCGTGGGTCGATTTATCATGTCTAGTATAGACGCAATAAATTGACCGCTGAGCGCTCTCCCATCGACTCTGGTACTCCACCAGAACGAGAAGCGCAAGTGGAGTCAAAGGGAGAGTGTCAGCTGTCGACTTACCACAGTGAAGATACCGCGGTAAGTAGATCTAAGTATGTCGACTTCAGCTACGTTATTCACGTAGCTGAAGTTGCGCATCTTAGATGGACCCCTGAATGGATGGATAAAAGACATAGACAGACCAAGCAAGACTATATACTCTACAATGGCAACTGAGTCAGTAAGTTGTGGCTACAACATTTTTGTCCCTTGACTCAATTGCAAAATATATGGAAGTTTTAGTGTAGATAGGACCTAATTGTAATCCTGTACCTGAGCAAAAGCCTTGGACAAGCCAAGGTTTTAACCTAATTTTTGGGTCCCATCCATTCTACAGATTTTAATTATATTCTGCTGGGTCATTAGACAGCTGGGTAGTAACCTGGTCCCCTGACTCACTTATAGTTTAATTGTGATTGGCTCTAAACATAGTTTGTGTTCACCAGAATATGGGTAATAAATAGATAGTAATTGTGTTAACCATTAATATTTCATTGTTGACAGAAACCTAGGCTGGCATAGAATTATATTCCTATGACCGGGTTATGACATTTATTCTGCAGTGTAGACAGACCTCTCACCATGTTATTATAAGCAGACTGGCTGCTGTTTCTTCTTCTCAGTATTCTGTAATGGGGCATCACATTGAGCATTGTCCAGTGTTTTGCAGGTGCCACCTTGTATGCTGGTCACACTATCCTCTGCTAAGGCAATATGACATAGGTGCCTGCATTTTCCCAGAATGCTCTAATGCAAGTATGCTTAGGCAGAGTAGTTGGTAGAGATACACACAATGGTTGATATGGGCTCTGGTTGTGTTGTGTTTAACACCCTTTTTCCCCTCCATCCCCCCCAACAAAAATATTCCCACCGGACATAACTAAAGTGTGTTAGATTTCTTAGACTGCATGCTTGCTTTTAGATTGTTAACTCTTTGGCATCTTCACAGATATTTGTACATTGCCTAGCACAGTGGAACCTAATTCTTATTGAGCTTTCTGCGTGCTATCAGAATGTAAATATTAAATAATAATGAGGAGGTGGTCCCAACCAGCTCTCCAAAAACATGTTGGGTTTTTGTAGTGTAAATCAAAACTACGGTAAGTTAAACAGACTTGCAGCTCAGCTCAGAATTGTTTTCTTTTCACTGGTTTGTGTCTCAGTTTTATTCACGTGTACTTAAAGAAGAAGAATAAAGAAAATATTTTCAGTGTAACTTTTGTGTGTGAAACTGCTCATAACTTGGTTATTTATGAGCAGTAGTGGAAGATGCCAAATCTTGATTGATACTTACACAAGCTCACCCAAACTTTATTTAATATGACTAATAAACTGTAAGTAATATATCTTTCTTTTACTTTGCTCCTTTACTTTTCAGAGTTTGTTACATTCTTTTTTTTTTTTTTAAAGCAGTGAAACTGGAAATGCCAAACCTGAAGTCTTGAATGATGGATCCATTTCGTACTGTGTGGGGTTTTTTTTTCTTTTTGCTTCTGCAGAAACCACTTGTTTGCTTTCTCTTGGTTTCTTAGCTGATAGAATTTCTTACAAACACTTTTACTTTCCTGTCAATGTATTATGTTCTCTGGAGAGAGGATCAGCTGGAATCATGGCAAAAAAGAACCACTGTTTCTTTGATTTTTGATTCACCACCCCGTTCCCAGAATTGCCTTGTTCCCTCTCACAGGGGGAAGACTTGTCTCTCATACAAATTACTGGTCCATTTCTGGGTCTTTGTAACCTTCCTGAAATCCTTGGAAAGAAGCCCTCTCTGTAGAGAAGAGGAGGTGGCATTGGAGCAACAGGCTGGTCCCAGTAATTTTATGGCTTTTAATATCTCATTTTAGAAGTAACTATTAGGCATTACTTACCTTGAGCACTCAGTTCTCCAGCTACTTCTGTGACATCATTGGGCCAGTGTAAATTGAGTTAATTCCAGATTGACACCATTGTAACTCAGAACAAAATCTGGCCCATAGTCCTTGGTAAATGCAAAGATTTCCATACTAACTTAAGATACACTGTTACAAGGTACTATTAAACTAACTTAAGAGAGTACACACAAGGAGTTGGCACCATTTTAACTAGATTGGTTTCTAAACTAATTTTGTTAAATTGGTGCAAATTTTGTGTATTGACAAGACCGTAGACACATTTTGTATACAGAGTCTTAGAAGGCTTTTTTGAAAATGCCATTGTTATCATGAAGAACATGTATAAGTCCTGGAAAGTCAAACACTGACATATAATATATAGAGTAATGATTATAGATTCAGTGACAAGAAAATAAGAAAGTGACATGAAAAACTAAGAACAATAGATGTGGAACAGTAACAGTAACATAAGAAGCTATAGAGCCCGTAGAAAGACAAATGAACTCATTTATCCTCCTTTTTATATTTCCCTCTTTATTATGGCTCTCTTCAATGTAAACAGTGGTATCAGGAGAAACTTAAAGTGATGTATTGAGATGCATTAGTATCTCTGGTTTATTTTGAAAAGTTCAAATGCACACACACACCCTCCCCCAATAGCTGGTCTGTGCAAACTTATTGTCCCCATTGTTGTTTGTCTACCACACCCACGCATTTTCCTTTTGTTTAAATCTAGATGTAAACGCTTCAGGGCAGCAACTTCTTACTCTTACTTCATGGTTGTACATCCCTTAGCCCATTGGGACTCTAATCCTGATTGGTATCTGTGGATGCAGCGTTAATGCAAATAGCTAATAATACGGTGCAGTCAAATTGGGTATTTCTTCACACAGCCTCCCACCATTTTTCTTTGAAACACCAAAATAACATTGTATGAAGTGGGAACACATTTGCCAGATCAGTAATATAATGAAGTCAGTGGCAAGCATTAAACTACCTGTTTTGTGTAAGCAAGTAAAGCAGGATAGAATTTTTTATTTAACCCCCTTCCCAACACACATAAGCACGTGCGTGCAGAGGGTTATTATCTACCATCTGTTTTATCCACAGTAGTTTCTATCAATTGTGTTATTTTGGGTTCTATTAGTGTTTAAGCACTACTTTGAAGCTGTTGTGTTGTTAACTTTGGCTGAGATTATGCGTAAATGACGATAGAAATCTCAGCATGTTAAGATCATAACTGTTAGATTAATGATAGAGCTATTAGCTCTGTGCTGGTGTATTGCATTAATGGATGTGTAAGTTCAATCAAATACACTGCCGCCAGTGTCTCTGCATAATGGTATTTACTAGGTCTCAAATGGACTGCTGAGAAAAGTGAAATATAATCTTCTGTTTTATCTGCAACTTAAAAAAATAGATAATGAAATCATTCTCTTCCTAGCATATATTTTATTGTGGTTTGTGGAATCACTTCCAAAAGAACAGAGGTAATTGTAGGCCTAAGTTCTTTGCTAAAATGGAATGTGTATTTACTAGGGACATTGTGATCTTTAGAAACAATTAGAGTTACTGATGCAAGTATTGTACATTCCAGCTAAACTTAAACCCAAAAGTCAATGACAAAATTAACATTCTGTTATAAGTGAAGAGTAAGAAAATAAAAAAAGAAATTCACTGAACACACTAATTCCCTCCTTTTTATTTTTTCTTCATAGAACCTGGAGAAAGTATTTGTGGAATTCAGTCATCAGGAGCTGTTTGAGTTCTATAACAAGGTCTAGCTTTTACCGTTACCATTTCCTAATATATTTTAATAACTTCTATTTCACACTGATAAATCTCATATTAAATACTCCTGCATCACTGTTTCCCCGTATTACAGAGATTTTTGCACTTAATTTCCTTTGCACCTTATGCTCCTCAGCAGGAATCATTTGCCTATATGAATAAAATCTGATGAAACTAGAACAAAAATGGAAATAATTTTATTAAACCATTTAATTTGTTAGCTTGCATAAAAAGCATTTTCAAAATGGTGATTGCATTCAGTGTTAGAATAAATGTAATACAGTGGGTTGGTCATTCTTAAATATATCTTGCTGTTAAATCTAGAAGAGGAGCTGAGGACTAACGGTTAGGAGCAATCTGGAAGGAGCGTCTTTGTGTGTTGTCTTCAGCCCAAAATGCTAGGCTCTTAATCCAGTCAAAATAAACTCTTATTATTTTTTTACTTTGTTATTATGCATTGGAAATTCACATCAAAACAGCTGTGCATGCAAAAAAGGAGAACTTAGACAACTGTTTCTTTAAAATTTGAATATTTAAACTGCAGCAATGAATTCTAATAGCTTCATGTAAAAACAAATATTCATGAGTAGGAATTTTGTATTGCCATATGAATAGATTTAATATCCAGAGTTGCAGATTCAGTTATTTCTTGTCTGTTTGCATGTTTCTACACAACATTTTATATGAATTCTTTTTTGTTGTTGTTGCTTTAAATAGCTGGAGACTATACAAGCACAGCTGGATTCCCTTACGTGATGTTTTTGAAGACTTGTTTCTCCATCGCACTCCTGCCACCTCATTATTTTGAATTGAAGATAGATTGCCAAACTGTGTTCGCTGATGGATTCAATAGGTTGCTTCCCTGTAAAATTATATGGCTTATCTCCTCTTAGACCAGTAACATTAACCAAGGGGGATCATTGTTAAGAGTTCTGAGCTTCTAATTGACTTTCTCTTGTTTTTGAACCAACAGCATTTGTGAAGAACAGTGTTACTTGAGAAAAAAATGTAATACCATACTGTTGGTTTATAGTTCTTTTATGCTTTATTACCTGTGCTGTTTGATTCATTACATGTCTGATGGCAATTCACATACTAGTGAGGGATAGGAATAAAATCTGTATCAAAGTTATTAGAAGAATATAAAACTTAAGGAGTAACATTAGTAGAAGTAGTCAAAAAATAGACAGAATTGTCTCCATCCTTTTGAATTTCTCCCTTCCCTCCCAATAGTGTTGATTGCAAATTAGCCAAAATACATAAATACAATAAATAAAACATGAAAAAAGTGGGTTGTCTTAGTTTGGGTCATTTAATTTGATTTAATTGCATTTATATTCATTTCTGGTTTCTTTTTGTTCTTGATGATAATGTCACTGCTTTGAAAATTTGCTCTTGACATTGAGATTAACTAGGACTCCTGGGCACTGCAGTAGTACAGATAAGAAGTAATAATAATCACTGAGTATAAAAAGGGAGGATGAAATACTGAGAATAGATTATCAAGAACACTGAACTAGTCATGTGACCAGATTCCTGAAAGCCATTCATTGATCCTTCCTAATATTGTCTGTTTTTATTAATGTAAGTAAAGATATTCATAGAGTGAAATATCTCAAAATCCAAGTTAACAATATTTTCACATTATTGCGGGATGAACTCAAGTCCAGGAGCACTTGATCCTGTTAGAGGGCTAGAAGTCCTCGTCTTGCCTGTCACTGCAGAAAACAAACATGCACTGTCAATACTTTATCTTAATAACAGGAAAAGTAAGTGAATCTTCCACTCTGGGCTAATAGGAGGTGAAAAGAAATAGAAATTCAAGATATTATCATGCCTTTTTTCAGCTAAGCAACTCTGTGAACAAGGCTTTGCACTTTCACTTCCAAATCCTCCAGTGGGCCTGGTTAACACCCAGTGCAGCATTTGGTAGGCGTTCTCTTGAGATCTCAGTTTGGGGATGACATGAGTTTTAAGTATCACCAAAAACATACTTTGAGTATCTGGGATTTGGGTCCCCTTGTGCCTAATTTGTGGCATATATTGTATAACAGATCACCAACTCAGTTTGTTTTTAGGAAAGATGTTGTCAGTTCCAAAATTTCAAACAAGAGAAGTGAACTCTTCAGTGGCTGTAAGATTAGAGGAAAGGTTTTGAGGACAGCGGCCTACACAGAAGAAAGAGTGAGTAAAGGGCACCAAAGAGATCACAACCAATAGTCCCAGTGTCTTTGGGCAAACATATCTACTGAAGGAATATTTTAATTGCTGATAACATACCACCACACTTGCAGTATAGTGTGATACCATCAATGCAGTGATCCCACTGGGCAGAGGCAATACAAGAAAAAGCTTGTACACTTGAAGCATATTGAATCAATATTGTTTTTCATGGGGCAGAAAGCAAAAATGTTGAACTTCAAGATTGACACAAAACACCAAAATTAAATGGGTAGATTGACTTGTCTTAATCTAACATAATATGCTTAGTTGTATCTAACTGAATCTTAAAACAAAATTAATGTCTCTGCTTCAGCTGAGTGCATTGTTTGCTAGCACTTCCATTTGCCTCATAATTAGTTTTGACTCCAGCAGGTTGCAAGAAGCCTCTTGGCTTGCCATTTTTTTTTCTACTTTCCCTTCCTGCCCGTCTCCATTCTATAAGGCCAATAAGTTTTCAGTGTGCACTAGTCAAAATTTAACGTCGTATCACTACTGAAGATAAACATAACTATTTTTTGCCTGGTAATAAGGGCCTCAGCATTTCTAACTAGGGGACATTTTTACCTGAAAGAGTAGCCTTCTCACTCTTCACGGGCAGCTTCAGGCAAGCATCGTCTCAGTGCCCTCTTCTGGACATGAAAACTCTCAGGTGGCATCAGACCAACAAAAATAAACACGCAATCCAATATGAATTGTTATCTGACATCCTCAGTGTCCCTGCATGCTTTCACAAGCAATGCTAACATGGATGAGCAATATTGCAAGTACGGTCTTTCTCAGTCTGAAAATCATACGGCTAACGGCTTCTCCCTGGAAGAGAGTGAAATAAAAGAATGGTATTCAAATCTGTTCATGCAGGTATATGGGGCTTTGGGATCCGATGCTCAGACAAATCAGTTCCCAGCTATCTTAGTGATACAGTGGGAAACGTTATGGACAACCGAGACTATTCAGTCATCAGAAAAGTTGACTTACATTCCTGGCTTCTGCCAGATTGTATAGAAAGGAATACAAGTTATAGGGCAAGCTGAAGCAGTCTGTGAAATACACCAGGAGAAAATACGTCCATACAAGTGCTAGCTATAATAAGTGCAGGGTCAGTTGCTGCCTTTTGTTGCCTCAGAGCTATCCAACTAGTCCTATCTGGAGTTAGACCCTGAATGGTGCCAGTCTCTCTGAATTTGGAACTAAAAGGGCTACCTGTAACTTTGATCAAATAAGGTCACATGACATTATCCATAGGGGGTACTCTATTGAGCTGTGAAGGATAAGGACAGCTTTTTCCCATTCCCAACAGATCAAAGCTTTTACAGCCTGCTCCCCATCCAATTTCTAGCCTCAGAGAACTGGGGACAAATGGAGCAGGGCCCTGTCTGAAGCATCTAAATAAGTTCCTGAAAGAGGCTTGTCTTCAAAGCATTCCCATTTTACCATATCTACCATTCTTACGTTTTGAAAAAAAAGGATCCCATCCATTTGCCCCTACTTTGATCACTATGATTGATCTTGCATGTGCTCCTAGTATCATGGTAACAATAATATTGCTTTAGAGAAGAAGGAAATTCATCTGATCTCTTCCCAGACATTTTTTTTCTGTTCAGGGTTCTGTACACAGAGAAAGCTGAAGCAAACATACAGAGTGATACAGTTCCAGGAATACCTTGGATTCATGATAAACACAGACTTGTAGTGCCAAGGAAGTCAATAATAGGCCTGGACTGAGGATGAATACTATCAGGTCCGAGGTCTCATCCCAGAAAAATATTAACAGAAAATGAAAATGCAAAACAAGTGTCACAGAACCAAAAATCCTATTCTTATTGGAACCTGTTGAAAACTCTGATCTCATACACGAATGTTTCAGTGATCCAGAGTTCACAACATATAGTCAGGTATCCCCTCTGCATCTCATCCCTTGGTAGAGATCTAGTTCCAATTGTATATTCTTCACTCCCTCAACTGATGAATTCTGAGAATCAGATTTTATTTTGAAGGGATCTTCCCAATTCAGCTCAGGGAATGGGTACTAGAAAGAGAGAGCATGGCATCCACCATCTGGACCATAGTGATTCATTAATGTCTCAGAGCTCTGCTCCTTCCATGGATAACAGTAATTGTGTCTGATAGGCTTCTCAAAATAACTGGGAAGAAAATGACTGGATTTGGCCCTACCCCAGAGAGACATCTCCTGTTCCGGATGGAACAGTTTCCTATCTCTGTGCACTGCCCACTAACGAGGAAATGAACACTAAGACTTACATGGCAGAAATCAGGTAGCAGAGTGGCTCCTTCACCCAAAAATATCTCATTCATCCTAAGTCAATTTGGTTATTTGGTGCGTCTTTGCCTCTGGACACAGTTAAATAAAGTGTCCTGTGGCTTTTGTGTGTCAGGACCCAGAATGTAAGGTGGTGAATAATGGTTTGCAAAGTTGGGCAGTGTCTCTGCTATATGCCTTCCTACCTTTTCCACTGTTCCACAGGACAGTACAAAAGATAGGAATGTAAGAGTGACAGTGATACTGTTTATGTCTTTCTAACTGAAAGGACTATGGTACTTGAGCTTGATTGACTTGGTGTTGGCTCTTCAGATGTTTCTACCTCACAGAAGAGGTCTGCTGTTGCAAAACCAATCCTCCATCTGGGCCCAGCAGGTTCAAAATGAATACTTGGATGAAGTCATTATCGTGTTCATGGACCTCAAAAGAGAAGTGAATAAATAGAGTTTATTCTACTGTCTGGTGCAAAGTCCACAGTTTAACTGCCATGTTAAACCAGTGAAACATAGCCTTGAGTTCCTCCAGGAGGGCCTTAATGTGGATGTATGAGTCTCCAAGCAAAGAGATCAGGTGTCTGTATTATAAATGTTCAAGAAAAAGGAAGCACTAAATGATTCCTTATGACCTTTGTAGAAGTGTGGCCTAAGCTAGTGCATATTATGTGATCAACTTTAATCCAGCCCTGTAGGTCATGGAGCATGACATTGGAATCTTATTCTGCCCACTACACTAATACCCAGATTGAATGTCTGCAGGGGGTGTCATTACACTTCCTGTCCATTAGAGTAGACCTCCTGGCTACTATCTCCAATCAGATGAGTACTTTATTTGAAGTTGCAAGCTTTCTCTAACACAATCCATATTGTACTTTTAATTCAGACAGGTAGGCCTTACAACTGTCATAACATTCATTCCCTAATAAATTCAAGAAATATTTTTTCCTGGGTTAAGCATCAAAATCCAATCCTTAGAACTGATGGCTATCTCAAGGCAGGGAGTCATATTTCCTGTATTGAGATCTGCTGGGTGACCGTGTGGCCATCAATACATAGATTCACCAAATTCTGCATATTGGTCATCCAATCTTAGCTAATGCCATTTCCTGTCTTTTAACAGAAGTCTTTGCCACACCTTAGTGACCAGGGGAAGACTGACAAGATATTGTATGTAATCTATCCCATTTTGGATGTCCACATTTAAAGAATGAGCCCATCCTGGAGCTAAACTGCTCCCATTAAAATCCCATCGTAACAGATCTGTTGACTTACGCATGAAGAATAGGTTAAATTTTCAGTGAATGTCCTTGATTCAGGTAATAAGATCTGCAGATCTGGCCCACACTAGAGAAAATGGATCATCCAGAATAGGGATGGAAATTAACATGCAAGGATTTGGGTTTATTGTCTTTCCATGGAATTTACCATGCTCTGTAATAGTAGAAATTGGCTTCTTTTCTTAATACAAACTAAAATTTAGAAAAGTAGATCTGAGTCAACCTGTCTGTAGAGGTTATCTCAACTGAAGGGAATTTCAGAAGTTTGGGGCATTTCCCTGCTGTCAGTGACTGATATAGGTCTGGTTCTGCCTCCAAGCTGCAAGCTGGCTGGCGTATCCGTTGTAAGGTGTCTGTGGACCTTATTTTCAGGTAAGCATAGATAAATCTTCCCATTCTTCATGTGAAGGTTCACAGAATGAAAAAGTTTAACATTTTGTTATGCTTACTTCCTTCTTTGGACTCACCTGTTCCATTAGTTTTCAACAAGATTAGAAGATTGTG